TGCTGCCTCCTTCCTGCAGAGACTGCCAAAGGCACCACTTCCTGTGTTCACATTCCAGGGGCGTCTGCTCTGCCTTCCCCCAGGCCGCGCCCCTGACTTCTGCGTTCAACCAGGTCCAGCTGGGGTGGGGAGGTGCTGATCTCCTTTCCCTGGAGGCAGCCCTGTCTCTAGGCCTGATTCTCCTGGAGGTCTTTCTCCTGCTTGGCTTAGGGGAGGAGAGCATTTTTCTCACCGTGAATTCCGCCCTTGCGCGAGGCCATACGACTCGGCAGTTTTCTATCTTGCCTTTCCTAAGTGTTTCTAGATGGGGACGGGGCGAGATGAAGCAGAGAGCAGTTGGTGTTTGTCCCATAAACAGCTGGCTGGCCCTGCTTGTCAACAGCTTTCTCGGCATGGACGTGATGTCTATCCCACTGTGGGTCCACGTAGCCAACCCCAGTCCCATAGGAGGGTCCCACTCAGCTTCCCCATTATATCCTCCCTACTTTCCTACCCTGGACGTTCAGTGAGTCTGACTCTGTCCCAGGCCCTGCTCTGAACCGTGGGAGGCATAGACATGTGACAGCTCCCATGGCACTCACTGAGAGGCGGCAGAATTCTCCAGTAAGTGCCAACCGCCATCCCACACCCACCAGGAGCTCCCGCTCTGCCAAGTGCCAGGCCGTGATACTAGGGTGGTTGTGCTGTAATGGGGCAAATTCAGGGACATAGAAACAGAGGGCAGGGCCAATCCACCAACTCTGGGGTTTAGGGGAAGCTTCCTGGCTTGGAAGAGGTGGTTCTGAGTGGGACCTTGAAGGATGAGTATGAGTTTGCCACTCAGACACAAGAAGAGCATTTTATGTTTAGGGAATAGAACATGAAGGCGGGGGCTGAGTGCAAAGATGCTGGGTGCCACTGGAGCACAGAGGAGATGATGTGACAGGAAGGGGTGAGGGACAGGCAGGGAGCAGGTCATGAAAGCTCCTGGGGACCATGCCACTGCAGGGAGCACTTCCCAGAAACATTTCAGAGTAAGCTGTCGGGCACTCTTCCCTTCACCCCAAGGCTTCTGTTTTGAAGAGTCTAGTTGGACACTTTCTTCACATGGTGGCAGCTCTGAAGCTGCAAGCACTTGAGTCGCTAGCATTCCTGAAAGGCGAGGACTTCCCATATTGATTGCAGCAGAGCAGGTGGGGGATAATGGATGGGCAACAGAGACCCGAGCAGGACGGAGGACGACGCAGCTCCCTTTGGGTCCTAACGCCAACGGGCTTCCATAGGAGAGACCCCAGCATCAGGACAATTGCTGGCTTGGTTTGTCTGGGGAAGTCTTCGACTAAAATATCAGGGGCAGAAATCTTGGCTGGGACTGAAGAATTCACAGGACTCGAATAATTTACCTAAAAGAAAAAGCAGAACAGGGTTTATTTTTTTGGAGGTAGGACTCTGGCGTGACATTTTAAAAATGCATGTTTCCAATTCTCATGTTCTATGAGCATATGTTGCTTTTCAATAAGAAAAAAGCCCACGTTCGTTCCCCAGCGATTTCTCCAGTGCCTATTTATGTTGTGCCAGCCCTCAGAGAGCCTGCGGGTACAGGGATACACCAGAAAGGGGTGGCCCTCACCTTCCCAGAGTGTGACCCTCTCTTGCAGTTAGTGGGCACCTGCTGTGGGGAGTCTAGGGGCACTTGTTGCACAATCTCACTCATCTTGACAACGACTCTTGAGGATGGATACAATTCACATCAGCCTCCAGATGAGGGACCTGAAGCTCAGAGCAGTTAAGTCACTTGGCCGGAGTCACACAGTAAGGGAACTAGCCACGTTGGATTTCCAGTCCAGATGAGCTTGGCTCTAAATGCTGGGCCATTTGATGCTGATTCTTTTGGTCTCTTGGGCTCTTATGCAGGCTCGCTGTGCCAGGCCTGCCTCTTTGCACCTTGGGTGACCCTGGGGAAGCCATGCAGTTTCTCTAGGCCTCGGTATCCCCACCTATAAAATAGGGATAATTACATCTTCCTCGCAGGCTTATTATGAGGCATGGAGAGGTGTGATTAACGCATGTGACTCAGGACAGTGCGTGACACTGGCTGCTTGGACAATGAGCGCTTCTAATCACGGTGAGGGACAATGTTAGTTGGTGTTGATTCCCTGCTTCTATTCCAAGAAAGAACCCACTTGTGTCTGTTTCCACTTCCTGGCTTCAGAATACACAGGCCCTGGGCTTCCTTAAGCCCCTAAACTCAGACACAGGGGAGGAATCTATATGGGAAAGGCAGTGGCTACCCTGTCCTGGTTCTCCCGTCATTGTCCCCTGGCTTCCCACCCTGTCCTGGTTCCCTGTCACTGTCCCCTGGCTTCCCACCCTGTCCTGGTTCCCCCGTCACTGCCCCCTGGCTTCCCATGTCTGTTCCTTCTCAGGCCCAGGCTTAACCCAGCCCTGGAGACAGCCCAGATATGGGCCACCAACATGGAACGTTAACCCCATTCACAGGTGGTCTTAAGATTAGTCACAAAGACCAGGCCAGGGTGACCCTGGAGCAACCACGTGTTCAATGCTCCTGCTGCTGTAAGTCTTACTGCTTGGGATCCGTCTTCTCCAGGTGCTCCACACACATCAGCCACAGTCACTGCTTGGAACATAGGATGTTTGCCCCACGGGTTCCCTTCTAAGAAGACAACCATAAACTCCGCAGTCTAAAGAAGGAGAACCTGTTTCTGGAAGATGACTGGAAGGCTGTGCAGCCCATCCACCTCCCAGAAGAGCCTGTGTGTTTCTTCGTTTTAAGTCTGACCATCCCCTACCTTGCCGTGTGTTCTGTTCCAGGTAGCACTGCCTTGCTTCCCAGCTCCGTTTCGGTGTGGCGCCATAGGCTGGTGCTGAAGGCAGGATGTGGGGAGAAGTAGCCCCTAAAAAGCTAGTTATTGTGTCTGTTGCAGGAGGGAGAGAGCCAAGGAAATTGTTGGGAGACATTTCTCTCACCCATAGAACCAGGAAAAGGGGAATTTCTTTTTATCTTTGGAAACTAGGCTGAATGAGACTGTGTCTTCTCCTTTGCTTTGTCTGCTGGGAAGCACAGAGCCCAGTGCATCGCCCGTTTCTAGGAGGTGCGGAGAACTGCAACATCAACACCATAGTGCACCGACCTTACCCTTGTCTTGCGACTGATGGGAACCTGCCTGTACCCAGGACTGCTCTTTGTGCTGTCCTTTGGGGTCTAGCTCTGCGTCTGACTTGGTTCTCCCCAGCCCCATCAAGCCAGCTGGAGAGCAGGACCTCCCTGGGTGCTGACTGCTTCTCCTTCCAGCAGACCCGTGTCTTCCTGGCATCCCAACAGCCGCGGTTGACATTTCACGTTTCCATGGGAACAGAGTCTGACTGTAGCCAGACAACTAACTAGAGAGGCTGAGGAGGAGTGTGTGTGAGTATGTGTTGTGTCTGAGGCTGCTCCCAGAGCCCAGGGTTCTGGTGCACTTCCCTTCGTCCTGCGGTGGCTGCAGCAGCCTCCTCGTGGCAGTAATCGTGGCCCATTTGCAGCTCCTACATCTCCATTGCTGACATAATATTGCACCGGGGTCCATTCATCTGCATAATCATCTTAACCTGCTCCCACAAGAGAGTTTAAAAGGTCTGGGCTGTTGGAAAATGACCATAAAGCCTGCACGCAGATACCTTTAGCAGCAACGCCAACATCTATCACAGGGTAATTAGAGGCAGGGAGTGAGGGCTCTGGGCCCTGTGTCGGGGAACTGTTTGGGGCTGCGTCTGCTCTGACTGTTGAGAAGAAAGGGAGGGAAAGACCCAGGAAGGCAGTCCAGGAAGGAGAAGGGCAGTTTCTGCAGCAGTAAGAGGATTTCTCTTTCCTGGAAGGCGTGCAGCCTCTCCAAGGGAAAGAAACCTTGCCTGAGACTGTTTGGGGACTCCTGGGACCTCCCTTCACCCATTGGATGAGCCATGGTTTTCTCATACTAGAAAAATAATGACCGGGACTCCTTCTTTCTTACTATGTTCTAGATCTCAAACTCTGGAGTGCTGTGTGGTCTCGAACAAGCTCCCTTTTCTCTCTGTGGCCCCATTATTTTTATTTGTAAAATGAGGGGATCGGACAAATCTGTCAGTTTTCAGACTCTGATTCGTGGAACCCTGCAGTTCACAGGCAGGGTTGGGGAGGGTGAAGCGGGTGGGCAGCCGTGACACCCACCTCCTTTACTGCAACTGCAGTGACTTTCCTTTCCTCGGTCCTATACTCAGCTTTCCAAAGAAGGTTATACCGAAGAACAGTTTCCTGCTTCCAGAAGTGCTGGACCCCCACTGGGCTCCAAGATCATGAAGAGTCTCTGGTGTTTGTATGGTAAAGGCACCAGGTTCAGAAAACCAGCTTTTGCTATGTCCTTTAACAAGTGTCTGTTTCATAACTAGCTTTATTGTGCTGAATTCAATCTCTCCAGAAAAATAGTCGCATCTGTGCAGAGAGGGAGTGTGACTTGAGGGAGTGTGAGGATACCACAGAGTCAGAAGCAGAGGGACAAGAACGGCTCTGGCAAAGCAGTAACGAGGGGCAAACTGCCCACAGCCCATCTCCCGGGGCCCACTGGGGCTCCAAGTCATTGGGAATGCCCCAGGCAGGGGGTGGCTGTCCTCCCTGTGTTGAACCAGCAGAGCTGATTTCTTCTGGGTCCCCCGCCCTCCTTGGCTATCAGCTCTGAGCGGGGTGCACAGCCCCCTGGCTCTGATCCACATGGAGCCTGGTCATCTCCTCCTGGCATCCATCAACTGCCTGAGCTGTCGGTGGAGGCCGCTGCGGCCTCTCACTTGCTGACCCCTTGTTCTGCAGCCTCTTGAAAACTCCGGCGATTTGTCTCTGATCCCGCTGCAGTCTCCCACCTTCCCCTGGAGTCGGGGCTTCAGGCTATTGTGACTGTAAGGCTCTCTGTCTCCGCTGCCTTATTTACCAGGCACTTCAAGCTCCAGGGTGCCCCTCGTTCCCCACCTTTGGGTCTTTGAAACTTCTGTGCTCCTGTATTTGAAGGTGATCCTGGTCATGGACAGCACAGGGAGAGAACTGCTGAAAGCATTTCCCCATGTTTGGAGGGGCCACTCCTGTCCCTTCCAAGCTCTGCAGTTTTCCATACCTCCTCCTTTTCATCACCTTTTAGATGCCTCCTGACACCTGGCGTCTGGCTTATGCAGTGCTCCCTGTGTGAGGCTCAGTGCTGCTGACTGTGACGCTTTAACCAAGATATACATTAAAAAAAAAAAGAGGCCAGGCATGGTGGCTCACGCCTGTAATCCCAGCACTTTGGGAGGCTGAGGCAGGTGGATCACGAGATCAAGAGATCAAGACCATCCTGGTCAACATGGTGAAACCCCATCTCTAGATGAAATCACCTTTTGGCATGGTGGCACGTGCCTCTAATCCCAGCTATTTGGGAGGCTGAGGCAGGAGAATCACTTGAACCCAGGAGGTGGAGGTTGCTGTGAGTCAAGATGGTGCCACTGCACTCCAGCCTGGCATTAGAGTGAGACTCTGTCTCAAAAAAAAAAAAAGAAAAGAAACTTTTTTGTGTCTGACCTTCTATCTGTGTCAGCCCAGGCCCGGGGAAGGGTGAGGTCAGGCCGGGTGAGTTTGCCCACCTGGTCATCCCAGAACCCCAGAAACACCACTACCCTAGAGCTCCCTGCACACCCAAGCCATGCTGGCCAGGTGTGTCTCTCTGGTCTCTGCTGGACTCCAGCCCAGCCTATTCTCTTTGGTAGCAGCTCCTGGCATGCTCTACAGAAGGTGTAACTATTTCAAAGCAGGCCGAGGGCTCTGAATGTGGCCATTTAAAGAGAAGATGATGGTAGCTCTCTTCCTGGACAGCGCTACTGCGGTCTCACAGAGCACCGGGCAGCCCTCTTCAGAGTCTGCACGCTGCCTGCGAGGAGTGCTGATTTTCAGTTTCTTCTCAAAACTTTGCCTTGGGACAGTGTCTGGGTTGCAGGCTAAAGCTGTCTTGGGGGATCCTTTGCTCAAGTGCAGTTCCTGCCACTGAGCTGCAGTGTAACCTCATAAAGAGTCTGCCTAGGCTGGGGCTGGTGGGTCACGGATTTATTTTAATAGTGCAGTCCTTTTTGGGATGACTCTAAGCAGAGGCCCCAGTGAAAGACATTTGAAAGCAAGCTTCCTGGAAACAAGCCTCTTGGAGGACCATAGGGTGGTGGGATTCTGGAGTCTTCTCTTATCATGTATGCATGCCTCCTCTGCCCCCATTCACGTTGGCCTAGCCTATGGCCCTCCCTTCTTACTTGAGACTCCCTTCCAGACTCCTGGAGGCCCAGCCATGGGATGTGCCACAGGTGGCCCTAGAACTCAGGTGTCTCTGACTCTCAGTCACTTCTCGTCACTCCTGCTGAGGCCACATGTCCCTTGGCAGGTATATTAGCTAGAGGACTCCCGTTGTGGCTGTGGAGTTCTGGCAGTTACATGGAGGCACAAATAAATTCTTGCAAGATACCATGGGGTGCTAGAAGGAGTAACTTCCTAGCATGAAAGAGACCTGGGTGTGGTCTGAGATCTGTTAAGCAGCTGTGTGATGTTGGATGAACAGCTTGCCCTCTCTGGGCCTTGGCACCTGTCATTGTACAGTGAGTGGTTTGACTCTGGGGTTGGTCAAGGCCTCTTCAGGTAATGTCAGGATCTAGGTAATGTCAGGAATTTTCTGGAGGCATGAGGGAGAAGCTTGTGGTGTCAGATAAGAGCATGTGGAGCAGGACGGGATGACCTTGCTGTTCTCATGGAATATGGTCCATGACAGCTCCTTCTCCCCACGTGGCCTTGTCTTGGGGCCCCAGAGTGAGCGCAGTGTGGGGCCTGCCTGCCACCCCTCCTGGAAGCCCCTGCTGGGACAGTGAGCAGTTCTGTGCCCTCTGTCTTCATCCCACAGTTCTTCTTGGGGATCCACTCATGACAGATGCCTTCTTGATGAGAAGTGGGCAGGAAACGTCTCCCGAAGTGCAGGGAGCTGGCCCTCTGGCTGTGACAAAGTCCCACCTATTGTGTTGGCACCAACCTGGGCAGGTATAAAGTGGCAGAGAGGAGGAAGCTCAGCACCTGCCGTCAGGGCGTGTAGACCCATGGGGCAGGCAGCAGTACCGCTGCTGAGGTCATGAATCTTAGTCCTCTCACTCAGCTGGTGACACAGATCACTTGTCCCCACAGCTGCCTCCACGATTCATTCTGTGGGGCTGGTGGAAACCCATCACCTCAGCTCCTCTGGGGTTGTCCTCCTGCCTCTCAGATTCCCCCTCTGGCATGGCTCATCCTCCAAGTCAGAGGGAGGGTCTCCTGGGCATCATCCCTCAGGCCCCTGGGCCCTCCGCTCTCCCTCCCTGCAAAGCTCCTTCAGGATACACCCTGCCTTCGGCTGCCTTCCAGCCCTGACTGTGGCACAAGGCTCCTTTCTGTGGCTGCCCCCAGCCTTGGCCCCCAGAGGTCTCAGGAGCCTTTGCTCTGGGCTCTTGCTCAGCAGGAAGAGAGAAGGCAGGGTCCCTCTCTTGAGGAATGGCTTTCACTGCTCTCCTCTCTCCAGCTTGGGAAAATCTCCTTTTGGTCTGGGAGCAATGCTTCCACATTCATGCTTTTTCCAAGATCCCCTGCTTCTTGCTAAGAGCCTGGCTCTCCTGCTTTCTTTCTCTGCAAAACCTCCGCATCTTCTAACAGATTTACGCCTGTGGTAGCAAAAGCCAGGACATCCCTCAGGTGCCTTCTGCTCTCCCCTGTGCAGCAGGTATCTTATGAAACAAGGGTGCACAGAGGGAAGGGACAGGGAAAGGAGAAAAGAAAACTCAGGAGGGAGCAAGCCCCCTGAGCTGGGATTTTAAAGTCGTATCTGGGCACACCGTTTTGGATACTACATTCCCATGTGGAAGCACATGTGGACATGAGTGCCTGCCACTAGGCTCATGACTAAGGTCCCCGTGAAACAAGCAGAGCTCAGATACGGACTGGATTCTGCAGTGCCGCCCAGGCCCCAGGGTTGGGACAGGATAGGACAGGTCCTTGGCTGTGTAAGTGGGAGCCAACCATGATACGAAGCCACACTCGGGTCACACAGGATGTTTGCAGAAGCCTCAATCCTGAGGTGGTATGCAGAAAGAGCGTGGCCAGGTCCTGCATGGCAGGAAGAAACCCAGCCTGAGATTCAGAAGAGAGCAGCAGAGGTGAAGCCTGGGAGTGGCCCCAGATGGGGTGTGGTTTCGCAGGTGAGCCTCAGGAGTTCAAGCCTGGTCCTTAGGCCATAGGGAGCCATGGATGGTTTTTGAACAGGGGCATGAGTGGTGAGAGACAGGAAAGGCCCTGAGTGAGTTCAAAGAGAAAGAAGGAATGGACAATCACTGAGCTAGGGGTTTGGAAGGCTTCCCGAAGGACTCAAGGACTCATTCATTCATTCATTCACTCACTCAACAAAGGCTTATCTAGCACCTTCCATGTGCTAGATGCTGCTCACAGTGAGGAATATGCTAGAGTGTCTTTCCTATGGCGCTTACATTGTGGTTGGAGGAGGTGGGTAAACCTTCACCAACATAGAAGCATGTATTCCAGGTGGTGATGCAGGCTCAGAAGACATCATAGCAGGGCAAGGAGACTGAGAGTGACAGGGGACGCTCTTCTAGCTAGGGTAGCCAGCGGGAAGCTTCTAGAGGAGGTGGCATTGGAGTGGAGACCTGAAGAGAACGTGGGGGTTGAGTTACTCTAAAGAACAGGTTGGCTTCGTGCAGCTACGATGGACAGGGAGTGTGAGTAAAGCCTTCAGGGAAGAGTTCGAGGGAGATGCCACCCGCCAGTCTTGTTGTTGCAGAGACTCTGCAGGGGTGAACTTTGGGTGGTGAGGTTGGAAGGGAGGCAGTGCCATTTGGGATGAGAGTTCTAAGGCTGGATTGAGGACTACAGTCTTGCTTGGTGAGCCTCAGAAGGTTACTGAGCAGGAAGCAGGCAACGGAATGAGAGACGCTTGGGACTCTGCAGAAGACTCCCTTTCAAAATTGCAGTGGGTTGGCCAGGGCAGGAACCCGGGAGCAGACTGAGCATGCCCAGCGAGCCCCCTCCTTTGCAATTACTGCAAGTCCCAGCACAGGGCAGGGCCAGATCCCTTGGGGATCTTCTCCATATCAAAGGGGAGATTAGCTCCAAGCCCCTAACGATGCTGGATGTGCTGCCCACACTCACCAGCGCTGCCTCCTCTGAGACTGTCAGCTTTATATCTGCTTCTTTTTATCAATACGGGCAAATAATTCTCTAGACATTTATCATTTTAAACTGTCACAGTCCAGTGCCTTTCCCGAGGACCACAATCAATACTGATCTCGGTTTGAATACTTTTCTGACAAGGTTCCTATTTGTAGATTCACAAGTAGAACTAATGTGTGTTAAAGCTATTCAGTTTGGCATTTTGCAGCTCCATTGACACATTAAATATAGGCGTTCACCACAACGATTAACCTTACAACTATTAAGTAATAAAAATCCCGCATACATATTTATTAGCTGAACATCCTACTCCGGCGTGATGCCTTCCCCAGCAAGGCCTTCCCATGATGGGAAACCAGAGAAGGTGGAGGTGGCTGCTGGAGAGATGAGCTCACTCTCTGCAGAGAATCTCAGGAGGGATGTAGGGATGCCCAGAACGCAGTCTTGGTGGAAGGTGGGGAAGCTGCTCTGTGGATAGAGGCCCAGATGGAGCTGAAGTTGACGGGGTGCTGAGGTGGGTAGGAGCAGAGCTGAGATGTTCCAGGATGGTGGACCCAGCTGCTCTCTGGGATGACATCCAGACTTCTTCATTCCTGGTGCTTCTGAATAGGTATCCTTTTTCTCCTTGGGCCTTAGTTTCCTCATCTGCATAATGGGGTCAGGCTAGAGTTAGTGCCTCCTGGCTTTTTTATAAGGTCATGGCATGTATATAACAGGATAAAATCTGTACAGCCTACAGCATCAAGAGGCAAGGCCGCTCACCACCAGGAGTGACCAGCTTAGGAGACCCTGGGTGCCCCAAAGCCTCCTCTGGTGATCAGGATGGTTAAGGCAATTGACAGGAATGAGTGAGTGGGGCACACCAGCAGGGATTATCAAGTAGATGAGCTCAGATGTCCCTT